ACTTTATTTACATGTTTTACTTTTTTAAAAATTGAATAAAAAATATTTTCCATAAGATAGCCGAAAATATTAATAGGTCAATAATACACACACACACACGCACACACACACACACACACACACACACACACACACACACACACACACACACACATGCAAACAACTGCCCTTTAGGGTGATACTGACTCTGTATATATATTTATTTTGTCGTATTTATTGTCGTTTTATTTTTAAATTTTAGCCGAACACACACACTCGAATATTTAAATAAATAAATATTAAACTTTTTGTCAAATAATTGTATTTAATATTCTTTTAAATTCATTTCTTAGTTTTAATATTCATTTATTTAAGTTACACTTTTATTTACTATAGATGTGAAAATAAGTTCAAGGGAATAGAAATTTTGAAAATACATACATGTATAGCGTTTCGAATGTATCAACAGAATTGAATAGTAAAAACGAACGGTAATAATAATCGAGAATAAGAAACCTTATCGTTCGTTTTTACTTTTTAGTTCTAAGAATTTCGAATACATTCTAATGCATTTTAATTTTAAAATGTCTTCGTAAATAGAAATCATACGATGATAATCTTTTTGCAAAAAGCTGGCTTGGATGATAATGAGTCTGTATATATATTTACTTTATCTTTAATTATTGTAGTTTTTTTTAGTTTTAGCCGGAAGCACACACACATACATACAGACAACTGCCCTTTATATATGTATAGATATCAGAACCGATGTTGGATAAGGCCATCTCCTTTGCCATCTCCTTTGCTCAAGAACAAATAAAAATAAACACAAACAAAATAGAAATCATTAAACACTCCCGAGAATTACTATTATTCAGCAATGAAGAAACCTGGATAAAGAAAAAGAGACATTTGATATTACAATGGGAAGTTTTGACGTTATTTTTTTTAAATATCAAAATCCCTAAATGATGTAATTTATCAATATAGAAAATCAATCTTAGCAATGTCCAATTGGTGGAACAAACTGTTGCAGTTAGCTCCTCCTTAATTCCCAAATTGTCACCAGGGGTCATTCTCCATATACTATAAATAATGGGCGACTTCTCGCCTCGTTCTCTTTTTCATTTCTTCATTGCGGCGACTACAATGTAAGCTCTCTTAGAAGATCCGTGAACATTAACACCCATAAACGTACGTACGAACATTGACCAAAATACGAACATTGACCAAAGAACAGACCCAAACGTTCACACACACACACAAATGTTATTGTCGTTGTACATTGTACAATTGTTTTGTTTAATACATATATTTGTTTTATATATATATATATATATATATATATATATATATATATATATAAACAAAATATATGTATTAAAACAAAATTTTACAATGAACATATATACATATATATATATATATATATATATATAATCTTATAAATATAAGTAAGTATACTCGTCCGGAAAAATCTTAGCTATTTTGGCTTGTAAATGAACAAACCAATATCCAAGGAAAAATAAGGAATAAAAAAAGAAAGAAGAACATGTAATTTTGGCGAAACCAATCGACTAGAATTCAAGCTCAGAGTGCAAAGAAAAAACCTCTGACACAAGTAAAGTAAAAATAACTAAGCAAAGTGCTCAGTACACTAAGTAGATCAAATAAGTAGATCAAAATCTAACTATAACCCTAAAGAGACAGGCAGACTATCTAAGTTTCATCTACGCGGATCCGCGTAGGTGAAACCTAGGTAGGTTTGCTCCACTTTTAAAATTATAGATATATATATATATATATATATATATATATATATATATATATATATATATATATCGGTTTTGTTTGTCTTCTTTATCTTACGTTGGACTTAATTCAATGCCGGCCATTTTCTTAAAGTTGGACATTTTAATATTCTACCAGGAGTTACATACGTGTTTCTAATACAAACTCATATTAACACACACAGTCATGAACAAAACAACATAATTTGTGACTGCATCGCAAACATCTCTCTATCCTTCCCGCCAAAATTCGACCAGCAACTCTTCGTTAACTAACTCTTGCCTGTACTACAAAAGCTCCATCCTGCGACCATAATGAGGGCACCTACATCCAAAAGAACGGAGAAACCCCTTAGAACCTCTAACTTTTACATATCACATATTGAAAACAAAGTGTACGAATAAAAAATAAGGACGAATTATAAATCTAAAATCAACTTTTGAAATAACTCTACGCTAAAGTTTACATACAAACTCATGGTTAATAACAAAATCACATTCCTTGACGTTGATCTAGTATTAAAATCCAAAGTATTTAGCACCTACCGTATAAAAAAAAAAAACCAACTCTTCTAAACTATGGAAGCCAATACCCTGAAAAATATAAAATAGCAGTGATAAAAAATAAACTTCCCAAATAGAGCACGCCCAAATTCTTCTTCCAAAACTAAAATATATAAAACAAACGTGAATTAACAATAATTTTCCCGCCTACATCATCGATAAACAAATAAAATCATTCACACAAATAATACATAACCCCAGTATTAAAAATACAACAAAACATATTTTGCTGCAACCAGATGCACAATAATTACAAACATGACGAATGATTATACACCATATTACAGCCGTAAATCATGGGAAAACAATTAAACCTTATAATGCATAACAGAAAATGGCAAATCACCAACCTCGTCATCAAAAGTCAAAATATCCCTATTAAATGTAAATTAACGATGACGAATATAGTGAATCAATTTAACTGTTCAGTACAAAACTCTTTCTTGTCATAAATCAATTAGCTATATCCGTCACACCACAACGTACTTGAGCAGAAGCCTCACCTGTTACTTATCTAATCAATGTGCTATAAACGGCATTTAGCAAACTACAATCTACAAGAAATCACTATGGTAATTGGCTAACTAATTAACCATAGAAATTAAAAACGGAAAATACTTAAGGCGAAAAAGAACTATATCGAAAGATAGACAGAGCGACATTAAAAAGAAGAATTTATTTTATTTACAAAAGAAAGATACTTTTCGCAAAAGACAGAAAATCCGTAAGAAAAAGCGAGACTGTGATTCTGTCCAAATTAATTAATGTCACGATAAGGGAGTGACGCGCCAATGTAAACAGAATTCAGATAGAAAAACAAAGCCGGCCGACGCATGCGGCCATGGCAAAAAAAATTGGCTTAGGACCACCCTGGAGAATAGCTATTAGTTATCTTTCAGAGATATGATTTAATTTTGGTTCTTGGGTCCAGCGAAGAGATCCATCTGGTATATGTACGAATCTTGACATGAAAAGGAGAGTCGAAAAAGGGATCATTATCATTGCTTATTCAAGCTGTTGACGTCAGACATAGCGTCTCGAAAATGAGCATCTGGTGAGAAGAGAATTTTCAGGCACGAGAAAAATAAAAGAATTTAATTATCAGGAAAACACGACCATCCAGTTAAAAGTTGACTAAGTGGATCTGGGTGTCCGCAAAATCAAGAAGTGATAAGAATTATTCGGTAATCTGGGATTTGTAAATGTTTTGGCTGAAGGAAAAAAAAAGGATTTTGTAAACAAAATTCTTTAAGATAATTCTAAGAGGGCTGGTCTAGCCACACCCACACTGCTGAGAGATCATTGGCCAACTGGTAGCATGGGTGATAGGCGTAGGTGAATGTATGAGAAAGACGGAGAAGTTGTTAACACCTACTGAGGGGATTGGTATGAGATACCAATGTGAGAGAGGAAGAGTCTGGGAGGATAACTCTCCTCCGACCTTCTCTCACGGACGAGGGAGAAACCCCCGAAATGGAAAGTGATTAATCTTCCAAAAATGGGAAGTAATTAATTTTCCTGGCCTAAGAACAAAGATAATTCTTGTTGGGAATTGAGAGTTGTCAAAGGACCCAAACCACGACAGGATCCCACGCCGGATTTGGTCGGTGTCCATATAAACGAACGTCTCGAAGACTTTTCAACAGAGTTTCGGAGAGTTTTCAGAGAGTTCGCAGTTCCAGACAGTTCGAGTTTGGAGTTGGTTCGAGAAGTTGGAGACCAGCCTCGCAGAAGCTGACCGAAAGATTTCCACGTCCTTTTCGACTTAGTCTTCTTACCAAAAGCAAGTTTTTATTGACGAACGACTTAAGGTACCATAACTCGCTTAAGAAACGCAAAACGTGTCACGAATCCATAGAAACGGACCGGGAGAGAAACACGCTCCTGTATTCAACAGATAGATAAAGTTAATTGTTATTTCTCTACATATTTGAACCTTGTGAGTTTGTTTTAATATTTTTCTTTTACTTACGCTTGTGCGGTAACACCTTTACCCCGGATTCAGCTTGCACTACGGCCCGACGCCTGATTGATTTCGTTTACCTAAGATCAAGATCACAACGTGGGTAGGTTAGACTTGAGATCAAAGTAGTTACTTCGGTAACCAGACGTTGGAAGTGAGCTGGGAACGACAAGTTGGTATCGAACCGGGAACGACCAGATCGACCAGGACACAGGCTGGTGGCAGCGACAACGAGTCAACCCCAAACGCTGGTGGAAGAAACCTTATAGCTTCGTGCCGCAACTGGGAGTTGACCACGGGCCGACGGCGCAGTGTCATATATTGACGTCGCGACCAGTGGACGTCACATATTGGCGTTGGACTGCGACCGTGACCATGGGGGGGGGGGTGTCACAAATCTCACCTTATTTAACAACGGAAGTAAATTGCTAATAAAAAAAAAAAGAAGGGAATGATACCAACTCGAATTTTAGCCATGTTCCTTTCGCGAGGCTTGGAATGAAAACTGCTATTATATATACATCACACAACTAGATCTTAAAAAAGGAAAAGAAACCATGAAAAGAAATTAACAACACTTAATAAGAAATCTCTTGAAAATGGCTAAATAAGATTCGATGGACAATTTGTACGCTCTCTTACCTCCACCAAACGAAAAAAAAATTTTAGAAAAATTCAATAAAAATTTTCATTGTCACACACACATGTGCGCGTGCGCGCACACACACACACACGCGTGCGCGCGCACACATACACGCGCGTGCGCGCACACACACATTCTGTTCAAATCTATCTATCTATTTCACTCTGTTCATATCTATCTATCTATCTATCTATCTCATTCTGCTCATATCTATATATCTATCTATCTTTCTATCTATCTATCTATCTCATTCTGCTCATCATCTATCTATCCATCTATCTATCTCAGTCTGTTCATATCTATCCATTCATCTATATATCCATCTATCTATCTCAGTCTGTTCATATCTATCTATCTATCTATCTATCTATCTATCTATCTATCACATTCTGCTCATATTCATTCATCTATCTATCTATCATCTATCTATCTCATTCTGTCATTCATCTATCTATCTATCTATCTATCTATCTATCTCATTCTGCTCATATCTATCTATCTATCTATCTATCTATCTATCTATCTCAGTCTGTTCATATCTATCATCTATCTATATATCCATCTATCTATCTCAGTCTGTTCATATTCATTCTATCATCTATCTATCTATTCATCTATTCATCTATCTATCACATTCTGCTACATATCTATCTATTCATCTATCTATCTATCTATCTCATTCTGCTCACATCTATCTATCTATATCTATCTATATCTATCTATCTCAGTCTGTTCATATCTATCTATCTATCTATCTATATATCCATCTATCTATCTCAGTCTGTTTCTATCTATCTATCTATCTATCTATCTATCTATCTATCTATCACATTCTGATCATATCTATCTATCTATCTATCTATCTATCTATCTATCTATCTATCTATCTATCACATTCAGACGTCCTGTGTCCGATGATAAACCACATCCGGCAGCAAGACCTCTGATCGTCTGATTGCAGGTTTCGAGGAGAGTAGAACCATCTCTTAATAGCTGTTGTTCCCAGGTTCAATCTGACCCGCGGTGGTAGCACCTGTTAGGGACCCAGCTATGGGCACATAGGGAACCTCCCAAACAAAAACAAAACAATATGAAATTACATTTTTATATAAAAAATTACATATTTATATAAACAAATTACCAACAATAGATATTTATCGTAAAATGACCAGCAATACGTTTTTCTAAAAAAAATGACCAACAATACATATTTATAGTAAAATTACCAACAGTATATATTTCTACTCAGACCTCATACCAAACATTAACACGTTTATCAAAGAAGAATTGCTGAAAATTTGAACCGGTGGCCTAAACAACAAATTATACATTATCAAACCTACAATAGAAGAATGGCATCAACAACTAAACACAAGGAAAGATGAAGTAATAATGTCCAATATTCCATGATAACACATTCTTATATTCTACAACTAGACTCACCTCCAATCTATACGGCATGTCAAGAACTCTACAGATTAATAATAAAAAAAAAAGACACTAACAAATTATAGCGATCTTAGTTAAATCCGTTTGAACATGACGTTAATCTCTATAATATCGTATTGTTTTTGAAAGGATTAATTAAGTAAACTGTATTTCAAAATGTAACTTCAACAAAACTACAACATAAAACACACATATCACCACCTCTAGTAATTATGTCTACACAAACATATATATATATGCACAAAAGCTGAGTATCATCTACCATGTATTCAAACCAGAATAACATTTTTATTACTTCAAAGCTCGCAAAGAAAATTAAATTTCGGTATTAAATGACCCATAAGGTGTTGATGTGCCTTTTAACAAATCAATCAATCAATGAAACTGTCCACAAAGTCCAGCTATACTACGCATCGTTTTTTATTTTTATCTTTTTGAATGTATTCTTCATGTGAAGGTCAGAGAAGAAGAATTTTCTGAAATATTCTTAAATGAAACAATGCTTTGCCCTGACATAGCGATAGTCATTGGTCATTCGTATATAAATAATCCAAATATGTAGCACCACCTACATCAATTGTGTCCTGACATCTGACAAATCAGTGGGAAAACCGGTTAGACTGTTCTCTTCTGTTCGAATAAGGTATGATAGTGGGTATCAGAGGAGTGGAACATTTTAAAAATCGTGGGGAAATTTGTGGGCATCACGTCTGTAGCCGGGTGAAGATCTTACAGTTCACTGCGAACAGTATAATGGGCAATCATTCGTTCTCAATGGCCGTCTGGCTCGAAATACCTGCGGTAATGCGTGCGTGGTCAGGGGTACTTCGGTAGGCCTGCATTCCATTTCAAGTACCTAATGTTCTAAATTTCCATATAACATACTTTTTCCTTGCCAAATTTTTACTTTCATTTAAAATCCCCCACGTAGAAGCAAAAGGTTGGCCATATTTAAAAATTCAAAATATTGTCAATTTTTTGAAAATATTAAAGGTTAGGGAAAAACCCCAAAAAACAAAAAAAAAAAAAAAAAAAAACACTATGAAAAAGTGGAAAATTATTTCGTGTGACGCATTTCGTCCTTTAGGACTTCATTTATATTGATATGGCTAGACATGCGCACGAATTAGGGGAAACGCTAAGAAGTTTCAATTTAATTTTTATTTTAAATATATGTTTTGGGTATATAGTCTAGAAAAATTAATCACGCAATTTCACACACGCACACACACACACACACATATATATATATATATATTATAAATTAATTGATTTAAAATATGGTTATTTTCGCTACACAGTTCCAACCATGTTTCAAAAATAGAAGCTAAAAACCCCTAATTTTATTTTTGCAATTAAATTAAAAGCATTAGTTCCATTTCATCTTCAAGCGAAAATTAGTTCCATTTCATCTTCAAGGAAAATTCGCTTGAAGATGAAATGGAACTAATGTTTTTTAATTTAATTGCAAAAATAAAATTAGGGGTTTTAGCTTCTATTTTGAAACATGGTTGAATTGTGTAGCGAAAATAACCATATTTTAAATCAATTAATTTATAATATTAATGCTCTGTAAATTTACATTGAGCACTATTTTGTAAAATAAAATATCTATAAGAACACCGGATTTTATATCTTACTGTTCTTTCTTTTTTATTTTATTTATATACATATATATATATATATATATATATACCCCTATCCTTCTTTTTTCATCCTTTCCTCTATCACTCTCTGTAACCCCTTGCGTGCTATTGGCTTCCCGTCTTGCTTGAAGTGAAACTTAATATATATATATATATATATATATATATATATATATATATATATATATATATATATATATATATGTGTGTGTGTGTGTGTGTGTGTGTTATGGTCCGGTTCCTTGTACGTGACGGTGATAGTCCAAGGTAGAACCAATAAAGAAGAACTCGAACACGGATATGGAATAACACAGATATATTACAAAAAGGAATATATACAGAGAAGTAGAAAGGGTTAGTACGAACAATCAGGTTTAGTAGGGAGAACAATGTAGTCTCGACCAGTATCACTATTCCAATGTCTTGCAGTAATTGTCTGAACGCGACTCTGTTTCGGACTGCCTCTGACTCGACTGACTCGCTCGCTCGCTCTGACTGACTAACAGACTCCTGATGGACTTCAGTCCAGACTTCAGACTGAACAGTATTTAGTCACCCCCCCCACGAAGGTATCATGTGGCACAAGGCCGGTTTAACGGGGGATGTCCGAGCCCGTGAGCTCTGCCAAAAATATGCCCTTTGAACCCGTATAAACGGATTCAGGGTCGGTTTACCTCCCCGACAGAGACTCCGCCCTTCGGCGTAGCCTCGTTCGGGTTCCTCCCCGCCCGAAGGCAGAGTTTAACCGATCAGCCAGTCAGCCGGTCGCCCGACTCCGGACTGAACTCCCTGCTTCCTCTTGAGGCGCAGTATTTATTACGTATGGAATTGTCCATTATGTTTTTATGGGTAAGGTCCCATAACAATATGTATACATATATATGTGTGTGTCTGTGTGTGCGCGCGCGCGCGTGTGTGTGCAAATATATAGAAAAATAGGAAAGAACCGTTCTTTAGCATTTTTGTTTTAATTTTTAAAAAACAGTGCTCAATACATAAGTAGGGCCCAAATTATAATTATTTTTTTTTAAAAATATGATCCCATCGCTACATAATTTCTATAATTAAATTGAAGTTTTTAGCTTCTGTTTTTAAAACATGTGAACTTTTATGTAGCGATGGAATCATATTTAAAAAAAAAAATAATTATAATATATATATATATATATTGTAATACTCATTTGGAAAAAAAACTCGAGTAGCACAACTTGTAGATATGCCAAAACAAATCGGTACCCGAGAAAAAAATTGGAAAAAAAATCAGAACAAGTCGAAACAAATCGTCCAGTGCCAGCTTACTTTGAAGATCCGTTTAGATAAAACCTAGGTAGGTTTTCCTGACTCTTTCAGGTCGGATTTATTTTTATATATATATATATATATATATATAATATTATATATATAAATATACATACATATGCAAAATATATAAAATATATACATATATATGCATACACATGCATATATATTTTTTTTAATAAAATTTCTGTTTTCTTTTTTAACTTGTAGGTAATGAATTGCATCGTATTTACGATTCCAATGGAATAAATTATGACCATGGAATATTAGTGTTTAAGCCTTTTTATTATATATATATATATATATATATATATATATATTGACTTTATCATACTGAGTAGTGTTGACCAACTTTTCTTTTAACAGAAAACCATGAAAATTGTCCAAAGTTTAGGAAAGAATAACTTTAAATGAAGTGGAATGATCAAAAAAAAAAAAAAAAAAAAAGTAATAATTCTAGTAATTTTGAATATTTTGCGTGCATCTTTTATATGCTTTCTTTTTTATTTATTTATTATTTATTTGTTATTTTTTATATTTTATTATTATTATTTTATTTTATTTTATTATTTCTTATTTAATTTATTTTTATATTTTAATTTATTTTTTATTTTATTTATTATTATTATTTTATTATTTATTATTTATTTTATTTATTTATTATTTATGTTTTTTAGTTCCACAAATCGTGTCAAGAGAAAAGTCGCCCTTTTTGCCTGAGCGTTATTTTGTGGGTGCATTTGTTAAACTTTGACGGAGTTTCTTCAGTTGCTCTACTCCCGGCGTTCTTACAAATCGACAACATACATTACTTGACTTGTTCAACAATTCCTCAAAGGCATGCCATTTATAGCTTGAGCATTCATTTTTTTACATCAAACAATTCCTAAATCATAGAACAGAAATCGAGTACATAATAGTACAAAGTTGTTTTCGGACGAAAGACCAAGAACAACAGAGAAATTTAGATAATATAATTATATTATCTAAATTTCTCTATAAATATTATAAAACTATGAATTGCTTTAAGTAAAATTCCCTAGTATATTTCGAGTTTATATTAATTTTAACAATTAATTTTATTTTATCATACGTGAAAATAGATATAAGGCAGGGGAAATAATTCATAGCAGTTGTTTCCCTTAGATTAAATTCTCCCAAGTCTTTGTTTGTAGAAAGTAAAAATATTAACTACAGTGGAAATTCGGTTCACGAATAATATATATATATATATATATATATATATATATATATATATATATATATATATATATATATATATATATTGATAATATTAGTGGTCAATATATATATATAAGCAAATATATGTATATATATATATATATATATGTATATATTGATAATATTAGCTAGTCAATATATATATATATATATATATATATATATATATATATATATATATATATTTTCCAAGAGGATAGAGTCCAGGTAGAAGTCAATGACCAAGGAGAGCAAGAATAATAAAAAGGCTCAAACTAATATTTCATGGTCATAATTTATTACATTGAGTCGTAATCACGATCCAATTCATCAGACCTAC